TGGGGTGGGGGGGGGTTTCCGAGCCCGATCCTGGGGTTCCCCTGCACCCGCTCTACCAGGGCCCCTCAATCCCCCCCCTCCGCCCACTTCCACCCCTCCAACTTTCCTGGTGCCTGTCCTTCCCCCCCTGGGGAGGCTGGCTCTGAGCCCCGCCCCTCTCCCGAGACCCCGCCCCTCCAACTCAAGGCCACGCCCCTTCTATGCTGGAGAACAGTCCCACCCCGTCACCGATGATACAGGGCAAAACACAGTCGTACGCTAGGCTGTTCCTTTCCGCAAGTTAGTCCGGATGGCCGGCGAGGTACACTGAGGCACGTTGCACTGCGTAACGCTACATTTTAGCTACATTCCCGCTTGCCCCCAGTTAGGGTTGCCAGAGAGTTTCACCAAAAATACCGAACGTGGCAGGGGAAGAAAGTCCCAAGCAGCCTTCTGTCCGAGAAAAACAGGTATTTTCTGTTTTTTTTAACTGGACAGACACTGCAAATACCGGACTGTGCGGGCCAATAGGAGACACCTGGCAAAACTACCCCCAATGTGCATACAGGTTGATCCTCTCTAGTCCGGCACACTCTGTTCCAGCAACAGCCATGGTCTGGCAGCATTTGAGTTAGCTGGGTGTCCACTTGGGCGTGGCCAAGTTTCCCGCTGTCCCATAAAGTCCGTTTACCGCCGTCAGACCTGCCTCTCAGGGTGCGTCTACGCAGCACCCTAAACTCAGAAAAAGAGACGCAATTTGAGCCACGGTTTTTTCTTTGTGATCCTGTCTAATATCTGTTTTGTGGGCATTGATCCTTTGCCGAAGCGTCTGAGACGTTTGTCCAATGCACATAGCAGACGGCGTTATAAGATCAAGAACACATATTCCTGCGCATCCAGAAATACAATTTATGCTATCATGTGCCAAAAGTGTCCGTCTGCTATATACATTGGACAAACGTCTCAGACACTTCTGAGGATCAATGCCCACAAAACAGATATCAGACAGGATCACAAAGAAAAAACCGTGCGCACTACAACTCCCAGCATGCATTGGGGCCAGAGCGCACTACAACTCCCAGCATGCATTGGGGCCAGAGCGCACTACAACTCCCAGCATGCATTGGGGCCAGAGCGCACTACAACTCCCAGCATGCATTGGGGCCAGAGCGCACTACAACTCCCAGCATGCATTGGGGCCAGAGCGCACTACAACTCCCAGCATGCATTGGGGCCAGAGCGCACTACAACTCCCAGCATGCATTGGGGCCAGAGCGCACTACAACTCCCAGCATGCATTGGGGCCAGAGCGCACTACAACTCCCAGCATGCATTGGGGCCAGAGCGCACTACAACTCCCAGCATGCATTGGGGCCAGAGCGCACTACAACTCCCAGCATGCATTGGGGCCAGAGCGCACTACAACTCCCAGCATGCATTGGGGCCAGAGCGCACTACAACTCCCAGCATGCATTGGGGCCAGAGCGCACTACAACTCCCAGCATGCATTGGGGCCAGAGCGCACTACAACTCCCAGCATGCATTGGGGCCAGAGCGCACTACAACTCCCAGCATGCATTGGGGCCAGAGCGCACTACAACTCCCAGCATGCATTGGGGCCAGAGCGCACTACAACTCCCAGCATGCATTGGGGCCAGAGCGCACTACAACTCCCAGCATGCATTGGGGCCAGAGCGCACTACAACTCCCAGCATGCACTGGGGGTAGAGCGCCCTGGAACGCCCGGCGCGTTCTTGGGGCCAGAGCGCACTACAGCTCCCAGCGTGCCCTGCGGCCGCCCTTCCGCCAGCTGCCCGCCGGGTTCTACGCACGTGGCGCGGGGCGCTGGGGCCGCAGCATGTTCCTGCAGTTCTACCTCAACGCGCAGGGCGAGCGGGTTTACACCCTCAAGGTGGGACCCCCCCCCAAGGGGAGCGAATCCGGATCCGCGGGAGCGGCGTGCGCCCCGCCTGCTCTGCAGGGCAGCACCCTGGGGGCGGGAGGGAGGAGCAGGGACTGGGGGGGGGAGG